AACCTGAATATATTTATGTTACAGGACCATGTGTCATGGAACTAACCTAGTCTTTCCCAGTCTATTAGCAAAGATAAAAATGTCATCTGAGCACTTAAGTTCATTACAAAGGAGTGAAACAAAAGTTACATTCTTTCAAATATGATCCCCCACAGAAATGACATCCTTTTTTAGGACTTGAAAAGTTTTTTATTATAGTAGGTTTAAAAGTACTTATTAGAATCTGTCAGCAATATTTAAAGTTAGATTTTATTATATATTTAGCTTAAGTATTTAAATCTTACAACAAACAAGTCCAATCCTTTGAAAAAAAAGATTTGGGAGGCTGAGGTGAGTGGATTGTCTGAGGCCGCGGGTTTGAGACCTGCCTGGGTAACTTGGCGAGACCTCATCACTACAATAAATCAAAAAATAAGCTGGGTGTGGTAGCGCACGCCTGTAGTTCCGTCTACTTGGAAGGCTGAGCTGGAAGGATCGCCAGAGCCCAGCAGGTCGAGGCTGCGGTGGCTGGGAGTGGCCACTGCACTCCAGTCTGGGCGACAGAGTGAGACTCCAACTCAAAAAAAAAGAAAAGAAAAGAAAAGAAAAATAAGATGATGGAGTGAATTAGTCATGAAGATTATGAACAAAAGCATTGCATATGCATCATGCTATTGGTTTAGAGTTGGAGCCCTTTCTTACCCTGCCTTTACCATTTCCCGAGAACATTGTGTCTAAACAGCCTAGGAGATTGTTTACCAGTTAGGACAAAGCTAAAGTTAACATTATTTGCATAAGCATATATGTAGGTACTTAATGAAATTCCCTTTGCTTGTGGAAATTAGAACATATTTACATAACTGTGCATCACTGGAATCACAAAAGTATAAAGGTGTCTACCATTGAAAAGATTTGGGGCTTCTGGAACTAACTGCTAATTTCTAACTTTAAAGTTTCTACATGATTGAAAGTAAAATTGTTTTTGTATAAAAAAAAGAAAAAGAAAAAGAAGGCGAAAATGTATTCGTTTTGAATGTTTTCATTTAAATATAATACAATTAATAGATTCTTGAGGAACCACACAGAGGTCTCCATCCAAACTGTCATTGCAAAAGAAATACTCTGAGGAACTCATAGATAATTGAAAGGAACAGGAGTAAGAACAGACCTTCCTTTATAAATTTAATGACAGAAATTATTATAATCTACAAGTCAGTATTTTCCCTACAATAGTAAAATAACCTTATTATTTCTTTTATCTTGTTCCTCTTTAAATCCACAACAAAAAGGAGGCCTTGCTGTACTGTGTTCTTAGCAGTTTTATCTGATCACTTAGGAACCAAGGCAGTGTTAAGTACTGAAAATTGTAAGGGTAGATTGATGCTTGAAATGAAGGAGTTCGCCGCCCTCTTGTTAAACCTAGTCTGCCTCACATTGGCAGCTTCAGACGATAACAGCACGTTCACCAGATTTTCCAAGTGATGAAAATGTCAGGAAACCCAAAGTTTATAGTTCCCCCAACAACCATAACTTGGCTACTTTGCACAGAATCATTAAGAAAGAAAAGTTAGAAGCTGACAAGTAGTATAAGCCTGTAGTCACACTGAGTTCATGTGTATACAGGTAGAGCAAAATTCAATAATAAAGCAACCAGCTGTGTAATTTAGACAAACATTATGCTTTAAAATAACCATAAGAACAGAAAGTATTTTTGTTTGAATTAAGTTATCTGGGCAATTGGCTTAATATTCTGCTTAGTACATGTAGATATAAAAGAAAAAACTATTAGAATGATCTGAATTTCAGAATATGATATAATATGATATTAAATTGGTATTTTAAAATATATTATAAACATATACTTAACCAAAATAGACCACTTGAGCAGGAAAATTGGCTTTGATTTATATTTACTCTCACAAATATATTCATAAAGAGATGCCTACTAAATCTTAATTTTATTTTTATATCAAGAGAAATGTTATTTAAAAGCTGACTGTAAATGTAGCTATGGTAATATCAAGTCAATGAAACACTTCAGTGCTCCCTTTATGGATGTAGATGTAAGTTAGGAAGAAAATAGGGAGTGGTGGAATATGGGGAGAACAGAAAAATTACATATTCCTTCTACAGATATTAGAATTCAATTAAAAACCCAAGAAAACATAGGCAGTCAAACAAATACATGAGCAAAATAAATATAGGCCAAAGAGAGGGAGCATTAAGGAGCTGTAACACAGGTATGCAGCAACATGCATCGAATACTCAGTTTCTTCTGTCTCCCTCTACAATTTGAGAGACTGCTAGCCCACCAACGAGACAAGGTGAGCAGTGGTACCATCTGTCAAGGTGAGCAGTGGTACCATCTGGCCAAACAAGATCACACTCTTATAATAGAAGAATGTAGTGCCCACCAGTGGACTAATTTCTGGGTTTCTCTCAGATTTGTGAGACACCTCCTTGGGCTAAAGAGACACCAGGCTTTTTTTGATTTACAAAGGTAGAGCACTAGAAAAAGAGATTCTCAAAATATTAATATGAAGATTCATGCCATTTATTTTGAATGTTAAGAATAAATGCATATATATGTATATATATATTTTTTACCATACGCTGTAGTCAAAGGATGTAGTGGTTATTTGAATTTTAAAAAAATGTGCTAGACCCAGCAGGGTAAAAAAAATCACTTGATATTCAGCATTATGAAGTTAGTCAAAATATCCCCTCAGCACAATTTGTTATATGCACACTTCCCTTCCAGAAGCAGCTGTCATGGGTATGTTTATTTCAAATCATGTTTCAACTTAATTTGTGGGGATTTAACTTTATTTCCTTAAATCTTAGATTTGAATCTCTCGTTAAGAATTCCTAGAGGAATCACTAAAAATTCAAAACTCAGTTTATGGCCTTGGTCCTCATTCTTTAATAAGTATTCTTTTCTTTCTTTCTTTCTTTCTTTCTTTCTTTCTTTCTTTCTTTCTTTCTTTCTTTCTCTCTCTCTCTCTCTCTCTCTCTCTCTCTCTCTTTCTTTCTTTCTTTCTTTCTTTCTTCTTTTGTACAAAGAACACAGTGAATTTTCTGAAACCTATTTTGCACTTCTACCCAACATTTCATGGCTAAAACTCAGCTTCAGTAATGTCAGAGTTAGGTTCTATGTATTTTTGGAAATTGTTTTACTTAAGACACCTAGAGCTCACAGATCATAAAAAGCTACTTTGTAAAATGATTTCCCTAGACAGAATTGGTGTGTCTGTAGATAGCTGTGACAATAGCAATTAATACATATACCATACTCCCTGTGGTGAGCAGGGAGGGCTCTTCCACCAGACTGTGAGTTATTTGAGGGCAAGGAATATGTTGTATTCATCTTTTGTCCCTTATCACAGTGCCTCAGCATATAGTAAGCAAAAATGAATTGCTGAATAAATGAATTTCTTCAACTTAAGTGCTAATCATATAGGAATACCTAATTAAGTAAATAATGAATCAAAAATAGTTGAGAATAGTATAATGTCTATAGTTTAGGTTGAACAAGAGGGACCTGCTAATAACTGACCAATTTTGAATTATGAAAGTGGCAACTTCATATAGTCCATTCTGTGGCTTGGTTAGATTTCTATGTTGCCTCTGTCCAATCATCTTTCAATAGCTAGAATGCTTTTCTACCACAACCCTTCAAGATGGACAAGATAATTTTCTTTACTTTTGCCCATTCCTCAAAGAGAATAACTCCCCACCTAATATTCCTAAGGTACAGAGAAATTAAATAACCAACCCTTGGTTGAGTTGACTTATTATATCATTTAACAAGTGTCCGAGTGCCCAGTCTCTGCTAGAGACTGAAGATAGAGACGCCATGAAGACAAAGCCCCTGCCTTGTGGTGGGTCTGATAATATAATGTGGTGTCCGGACAAGCAGCCAGGCCAGCCATTACAATAACAGTAATATGTTAGAGGATGTCCTATGGAAATACATGAAAGGGGTGCTGATTCTGACCAGCAAGAGAGTGGGCAGGGAAGTAAGTCTTCCTAGAGGAAGAGACCTAGAGGCCAGCTTGGAGGATGATCTAGTTAGGTAATGGGAAAAGGAAAGGCAGCTATGGGAGAAACTGAGTGAGCGAGTGTTGTGTGTTGAAGATACTGAACAAATGTGGCAGGGACACAGAGGTCTCAGTGAGAAAGGGGTAGGAGGAAAGGCTGCAGTTGTCAACAGGGTTCAAACTATAGCTATGCAGTGGGGGTCTAGAAAAATTAGCCACCCTGACAGAAAAGTTATTGAAAAATACGATTGAGAAGTTCTCATAAAATGACATTCATGTCTTTTGAAAGTTGATTGCATTGCTTATATTCAGGAAGCTTTAGAAATCATTCAATCCTATCAAATCACCTCGTTTTATAGGCAACAAATGTGAAGCCCAGAGAAGTTAAATGCTTTTTAAAAAGTTAAGTTTTGTGGCCTAAGGTTACAAAGCTAGTTCCCCAGTACAACATCAAACAGAACCTGGATCTCCTAACTCTCATGTAATATTCTTTTCTGACATAACCTATTTACTCTTTCTTAATTTATTTGAAATGTAGATTAATTATTTCAAGTTCCAATCCTGTTTACTAAATATTTTTTTGTGGACTGAATCAATGACTTATAATCAATTACTTCCCAGAAATTCCAAGTGTTTTACCAGTGCCCAGTCACTTCCCCAGGTTTGTATATGTTCAATGTGTCCAAATTTCTCTATTAAGTTTCATATCTAGATAGAGCTGTGACAAAGGCAATAGGCTAAGGCTCAAACACCTACAAGTTCAACTTCAAAAAGCTTATTTTAAGCATGCAGTTAAGATGGCAAATATTAAACATGCTGACTGTTACAGTTTGATGATTAATGCCACAGATAATAACCAAACATGTTTTATTGCATGACTGATAACATGTTCACACAATGAAGACACTAAGATACTTTGAACTATTCAACATGCCCAGAACTAAATGCCAGCATTTGTTTTTATAGTTTTTGTAATCTCACCTGCTAAGACCCTTATCTTCATAAAACCACTGAGTTCCTGAATAAATATTGTGCCACAGATTTAAATCTTCTGGGGGATTTGATGCAAGTGGTTGCTGGATTTTACGTCTCAGAAGCTCATATCTAAAGCAAAAGACAAGCAGGAACAGCGGGATTATCTCAACTAATGTTGAGATTACCAAAATTCAGGTTTTGTGGTATGTGTGTGTGTGATATGTACATGTAAATATAAGGAATAACATCTTAACTTTACAATCATGAAGTTTATTCCTTTAAATACTTTTTTCTGGCTCAAGTTTCATACATTCAATTATTTTGAAACAATCAGCTATATTTACATTGTATTATTATCTGCAATAATGATAACATTTTAAATTTCTTTTATGTCAGATTGGCTAAATCTTCATTGCCAGTTTCACACAAAGTAGAAATACAAAAAGCTTATCAAGTTAATTATTTCCTAAGACTTCTACCATCAATACTTTATAAACAATGATAATATTATCAACTCCATATTCTTGGGCAAGTAGCTAGCTCAGGTTGTTACAAAGCCATTCAAAATCACAACTCTTTTCTTTCATCTTATCTGTATTCCTGACCACATTCTCCACAAGTTTCTGGATAATAATATGCCAAATAATTATTGCATTAACTTCATAATTTTGAGGCATATTTGTGCAAATGTATGATATAAAACATGCATCAGGTTTACCTAACATACAATAAAAATATACTTTAAAATCAAGAGAAAGTTTATGTAGCGAATCCTTACAGAATAGTGATTGTTGTTTCAAAGGCTTTTAGTTCTTCACATGATCATGATATTTCTACTTTGATAAACTTTTATGGCGGCATATAAGTTAAGAGATACAAAATGATATTGTATGAAAGTTATGAGTCAGAGGATAGCCAATAAAAAAGTAGTTCTATGTTTATATGTTAGGCTAAGCCTCCAACCTCACTTCCTGGAGTGATAAAACCATAGCAAAACCTAAAATCATAGTCACCTTCTCTTACCTCAAATTGGGTCCATTTGGCTTGGATGGTGGTTGCCAAGAAATCCCAACGTACGACTCACTTAGTGGAATCACTGACAGTGGACCAACATCTTGAGGTAGGCTGGGGTGGGTGGTAACATAGGTAGGTAAGCTCTCTGTGCACCCTCCAAGGTAACCATTACCCCCTGAGCAAGCAACAATGGTGACAGAATAATTAGTGAAAGGAATCAGATGAGCAACTATTTGACTTAACACTGAGGATGTCACATTGGTTATTATGATGTGAGGGTCAGGCATGCGGATCTCATAGCTAAGCATGTCTCCATTCTGGATGAGTGGGGGTTTCCAAGTGACCTGAAATAAAAATATAAACTAGAATCAGTGTGACAGTACAGGAAGAGAGCAACTGAAGTTCATAAGGCCTAGAATTTTGCTCTGTCTTATTTTCAGTTAAGTCATTTTCTAAATGCCTACTTTCAACTTAGCCCTTTGCATCAGACAGTAATGAAGGGTTTGGGATCAATTAACAGTACACCAGGAACTAAATGAAATGCTGTTTCCTGGATTTAGCTTTTAGTCTTGATACTTTCTAGAACTGTCAGACTAATACACACCTTAGTGATTCATCTCCACTGTGGGTGTTCTGAAGGACACAGAGCAAACACATAGAGAAAATTCACACGTCCACATGCATCAATAGGGCAATGGCAGGATTTGATAGTTTTCTTGCTTATAACTCAATTAAATGAAACATCATAACTCATTGCTTTGCACTGTTAGTGTGCATGCTAAATAAGTCACTCTTTTTGAAGGGTGAGAGAAGTCATTATTTGATTTTCTGAGGATACACAATTGAGTTCCTGAATCTTACTTGCTTTTGTTGTTGTTGTTGTTGTTGTTGTTGTTGTTTTGAATTGGAGTCTCACTCTGTCGCCCAGACTGGAGTGCAGTGGCCGCTCCCGGCCACCGCAGCCTCAACCTGCTGGGCTCCGGTGATCCTTCCGCCTCAACCTTCCAAGTAGCCGGAATTACAGGCATGCGCTACCACGCCCAGCTGATTTTTTGATTTATTGTAGAGATGAGGTCTTGCTGCCCAGGTGGATCTCGAACCCACGGGCTCAGGCAATCCACTCACCTCAGCTTCCCAAAGGCGCGGGATTACAGGCTGAGCCACCGAGCCCGGCTCCTGAATCTTACTTGTACATAATTTAGCAAGTAAGGTAATAATAACACATCCTACTCTCAGAAAGATAAGAGACATATAGAAAGCTTTTTAAAAAGTCAAGCAAAGGATGAGCTAACACATGGATGTGAGCATCACCCGCAAAAGTAACATTTTGTAATAGAATACTACAATGTTTAAAATTTGTTTTATTTTCTGGTTAAATTTTGCAAGAGCATAGTAGTAACACACTTATGTTCCTGTGAAGAAAAGGACCCTAGGAAAATGTGCATAGGCCATTTCAAAAATGTCTTACTTATATGTTATACTGTTTCATCTCTGTTATTGTTACCATTTGGTGTTCCTTATATAAATACTAGGATATATATTCCATCTCCCTGTCTGTAAGCTTCTGAATAGCAGGGCTAAATTGTATATTAATTTAGTGCTAAGCACACAGAGATGGAATTCAGTAAGTAATTGTAGTCATGACTCCTTAGATTATATTTTTTTCTTAGCATCATAGTTATTTTGAAACATTAAGACGTAGTTAAAATAGAGAAGGTCTAACCATAATTTTATCTTAAATCAAGGAGAAAAAGTTTTCTCTAGGAGGAATATAACCTGAGATTTTCATAGGAATTTTTTAAGTTATTGGTGAAAAAAATGGGCTCCCACCATTGGGCAGTTGCTTGATGATTACTGTGGTAATTTATAACTAAATTAGTAATGGGCCAGTAGTTATCTAAATTTTACTATATGGGCTGAAATTATTGTTAAGCTTAACTTGAAAACGTCTTGGAGCATTCTAAGAAGAGATGCTAGGATGAAGAAAAGTTTTAGATGTGTTCCTTATAATCATATAGGATTTGTCAGCATCCAGAAAAGATAAACAAAACAGAATAAAACAGCAACAACAAAAGCAAGCAAGCAAAGGTTGTAGAGCAGGCAAAGGGTTCTGTTTATTTTGGAGGTGCAAAACTCTGTGGACCTGAAAAATGAAAGTCAAGGTCAAACTCAGGGAGCTTCCTGGTATTTGTAATGTCAGTGAAAAAGGGAAGAGCTATCACAGCTTAATTCAACCTGACTGATTTGAGGAATATGACTTTCTTGCCTCTCCGATCAGAATACTTTGAGAGTTCAGGTTGGAGCTTGGCAGCACTTGAAAGAATTAAAACTTAGGAGAGGGGCTGCTGTTAGTAACTGAGCTAACAGTGAATTGATTGGAGCCTGGAATTGAGGCTGAGAAAAAATGTTCATGAAATGAAATTTGAATAAGATATCTATCAACAGATATTAAGAGACTTGATGTAATGACTCTGGAAATAGTCATTTTGAAGATCAAAAAAATAATTTTCTCTACTATAAATATTTTACAACTAGAAATTAGTTATTTTTCTCAGTATTTTTAAAAAGTTACAAACTTAGAAAAAATATATCTTTTGGAAAATATTAAAAATAAATGTTGCCACAATTTTTAAGGAATCAGTTAGATAAATATTGTATTCTATTCATTTCTATGCTTAAGATCACATTTACTATTGTATGTTCAGCCAAAATATACAAGATTAAACTTTCAGTAGGTCAGTTTAATTTCCCATGACTTTTCACAGATTCACTGTTCATAGGAAGGATGAGAAAAATTGTCACATCCCTAAACATTCATACCAGAGAACATATTGGCCTGAATAAGCAAGAAATATGTTATCGAAAATAATAATTTTACATGGAAAAGTTTAAACAGAATAATAATTTTTCACTAAATAAAATTAATTTAGAGACAGCTTCCCTATCATGATGACTTCTTTTACTTGAGTCACTCTTAATTATTTAGATTTCCATTTCCTGTTTTGTTATTGTAAGTCTTCAGAAAACAGGACAAGTAAATAGTTGCCTAGGTGTTTAAGGAGGTGCTGACTTTTATCATCTCTTTTAGACACCTGAAGAATGGCTCTAACAAATCACACCACCTTCAAAGTTCCCTGAAACTTACACATGTAGGTTAATTGATTGGCTTTATACCTGAAAAGAATAGTACATATAAACACTATAATCTACTTATTTAACTCCATCAAACCATTTTAAAGAATTTTATAAATAAAGATATTTACAAAGATTGATGTACTGGGTTGAGTGAGAATGGGCTAAGATTTGATAAATGTCTCTAAAATTTGAATCCAAGCTTTGTCATTAAATCTGTGTGACATTGAGCAAAGCATGTAACATCTCTGGCCTTTGGAATCCTCATGTCTAATGTGAAAAGACAATCCTTGCCACATGTCTAGACATAAGATTGCATAATTCTAAGACTACTTAATCAATAGGCAATATAAATGTCCTATAAAGAAAGATCATGTGGAAATATTTGACTCTATACAGCATAGCAATTCCTCTTAACAACCGACCTCCTGGCAAAACTTTTCATACAAAATAAGATGTGCAATAGATATTTGTTAAAATAAAATTAAAGTTCTCTTTCAAAATTGCCTTCCTCTTTCTGAGATTATTGGTATTAATTTTTAATTCAAATATTATATTTGTGTTTCACAATCAAAGAAAGAGTATAAATATGTATAAAGGAAAAATTAATTACAACCCTAACCTCTTTCCATTCCTCTCTCTGTTCTACCATCCCAAAGCGAAAGGATAATAGCTTGCAGTGTATTCTTGCATACGTTTTGTATGCTCATATAAATAAAGCAAATATACTCACAATATGTCAGGACTCTCTCTCTCTCTTTTTAACTAAAAAAAATGTACAGAAAAAATATATTCTATTCCCATTACGCTTCAATTTACTTTTCAGGCCTAACATTAAGATTACGGACATAATCTATCATTTTTTGCTGTTGCATAATATTCCATTCATGGCTGAAAACACATTATTTGTTATCCTATTGACATTATTTTACTACTACAAACAATATTTGAAAATGTATGTAATATATACCATTGTATTTATTTTGTATTGGATAGATTAGCAAGAATTACTATGCTAAAAGGTAAATGCTTGCTTAAGCATGATCTTCATTGATGAGTAACTTTCTGAAAAAGTTGAGATAATTCACTTTATCACAAACAATAAAAGTATCAGTGATTGGTATCTATACAAACTCTTACAATTTTCTAATTTTAGTTTTTACCAACATTATTTATTTCTTTAGTTTGTATTCCTCTGACTTTTTGTAAGGTATAAATCTATTTGAATATTATTGATTATTTGTATGTCTTTTTTATTATTTTCTATTATATTATTATTGTACTATAAATTATTAGAAGTTTTTTGTATATTAGGAGGAAATAATCAATTTTCTGTAATATATGTTACAATTGTATTTTCTTAATCTATCTTTCAGAGTTTAAAATTTTGGGGGGAGGAGATCTTATGCCTTGCAAAAAACCCAATCAAGTTATTTTCAAGCTACATATCTTTTCTTTTAAAGCTACCGAGTTTCATTTTTTTTTTTTTTTTTTTAGAAAGGGCTTTCTTACCTTTATATTAAATTATCCCTTATTTTCTTCTAAACTTTTAATTTTCTTAGCATTAACATTTTTAATTTATGGGAATTTAGTTACGATATGATAGAGAAGTCTACCGTAACTTTACATATGGATAGCCAGTTTGGTCAGTGTCATTTAAAATTTTTTTTATTTTAAAGATGTGGGGTACAATTTGGGGTTAGGGATACAAATGTTCATTATGCAGGTACCCTTGTTGATGAGGTGTTCTCCTTGCCCCGGCTGTTTCCCACTACTGTCAATCCCATCTACCCTGGCAGTTTTCCACTAGGTCAGTGTCATTTTTAAAGTAAGCCATCTTTACCAGTGAAATAAAATGTCACTTTTACCTACAATAATAAATGTTTCCACACACACTTGTATCTATATCTAAACTTCTAAATTGTTCCAATGGCCTTTTGTCTATTTTTATGCCAATGTCATATTGTTGTAATTTGGTGGCTTTAGAGCAAGTAAAGAAATATTAAAGAAAGTATTACCTCTCTACTCTTTTCTTCCTGAATTTTCTAGAATATTTTCGATCATTTAGTCTTCCATTTATATTTTAAAATCATTTTTCCAGTTTGAAATCAAAGAAACCAAAAACATTATTGGCATTCTGATGTGAATGACATTAGGTTTATATGTTAATTTTGGGAGAATTGACTTGTTAAGGAGTCAAGTCCTTCCAACCAGGGAAATGGCATATTTCTATTTGTTACTGTGTAAACAAGTAGAGAAGAGTGTGGGCTCTGGAACTTTACTGCCTGAGTGTGAATCCCAATGCTGACTTCTTAAGTAATCTTATTCATGTTATGCAATGTCTCAAGTCTCAGTCTTCTTGTCTCTAAAATGAACATAATAGCAGAGTAGTATTGAGGATTAAATGAAAGCAATTCCTGGAACATAATATGAAGTCAATAAATATCAGTTGTCATTATTATTTTATTTCCTTCTGTTAGATATTTCTAATTTTGTTGGTCTATGTTGTAATTTAAGTAGACGTCAAACATTGACCTATCTTTAAAAGTAGATGAGAATGATGAGTAAGACTCAGCTCCTTTCACTTGGGCTTATTATTAAGCCTATAAATGAATGATGCTAAGTGCACACAGCAGAGTGAAGTTACACATGGGTGTGGCCTGGGTGGCACTGTTCCTTGTGGCATATATACCTAGGCTGGTGGTTTCAGTTGTCTGAGCTGAGTAAGGACTTTATGTGTTAAGAGGAGCTGAGAATGGCAGATTTGTTCTCTTTCATTCTGCTTTAACTGTGAGAAAGTTGACAGTGGCACCAGGGCTTAGAGGCTTGTGATATCACCATAAAATAAGTTTTTTGCTGTATTGCAGCTCTTCAAATTGGTTATTTCTGTTTTATTTCATGTTAGTCTCAATTCAAGAGCTTTAGTGCAGCAGTCTATACATTTAAAAGCCATCTCCCTAATATGCTTTTACTTTAAATTTTTGTTAGAAGTGGTTGCTGAATTTTACAAGTCCTTTTGCTACATCTATTGATAAAATCATATGTGTTTTCTCCTTTAATTGACTGATGTAGGAAGTATATTGACAAACTTCCTGATGTTGAACCATACTTACATTTTTGAAATCAAATCAAATTTTTCCTAATACATGATTCTTTTAAATATACTTCTTAACTCAGTGTGGTAATCTTTTATTTAAAATTTTTGAATCTATATTCATGTATTAAATTAGTCTATATTGTTATCAAGTTATCCCTCTTAGGTCTTGGTAGAGCATTTTTACCAACTTCATAAAATAAAATGAAATTCCTTAAGTGATTAATTATCAAATAAAAGTGCATGACTTTCACTTTTCCAGATAACACAATCTACACAATCTCTTTGACATTATATTTATTTTTCTTGTAATCAAATATAAGTTTAAGAATATGATTTTTTTTTTAAAGTTGGAGTCTCACTCTGTCACCCAGGCTGGAGTGCAGTGGCACACTCATGGCCAACCCAGCATCAACCTGAAGGGTTCAAGTGATACTTCCTCGTCAGCCTTCCAAATAGCGAGACCTACGGGTGCACACTACCACACCCAGCTAATTTTTGTTTATTTATTGTAGAGACGAAGTCTCACCAAGTTGCCCGGGCTGGTCTCAAACCCATGGGCTCAGGCAATCCACTCGCCTCAGCCTCCCAAAATGCTGGGATTACAGGCCGAGCCACTGAGCCTGGCCAAGAATATGATTTTGATCTACACTGCTGTGTTCTCCAATTTACTTTCTTGATACCAAGTTATATCATTTCCTTTTATACTTACTAATATGATATTTTAGATTTGTTTTCTACATAACCCAAGTATGTGTAGTTTTTCTTGCTTCTCCTAATTAGACATAATTCTTACAGGTTGCACTGTACAGAGAAAAGAACATACAGTAAAAAATGAGACAAAACTGAGTGAAATACCAGTTCTACTCTCTTTATTATCTTCTACATTATCAGATGGCATTCCTTGTTTCTCTGAGCTCAATTTGTTGTTTTCCTCTGAGTTCCTGTCACTTCTGGGCATAGTATATGTTTATTTGTTTTCATTCTGTCCAAAATATAAGCTCCATGAGGCTATCAACTTTATTTTGAATTCTTGTATTCCTAGTGCCTGAAAGAGGCACTTGTAAAGAAGTATACTCATTTATTGATGCTCAATAAATGTTAATAAAATGGAATTTATTATTGTTATTGCTAATATTATTGACAACATCCTTCATCCATCCAAATACTTGAAAAACCTCTATGTGGCAAATGTTGGATTAATATCTTAACCAATGCATTAATGACTATCCTTCTGTTATTCTTCATAAATATTTTATCTATTAGCAATTTTGACTTTTAAACCTTATATTTTATGAAGAGAAGTTATTGTTTAGCTGTCATATACCCCTGTTTACCAGATAAGCTGTATCACTAGAACATTTACTTGGGTAAAGTTTTAAGTTCTTTCTGAATATAATTTAAGCCAATAACACTAAAGCAAAAATATATTTTCTATACTTTTAAAATAGTATATAGCATCAAATGCAAGATTCAGTTAAATATTCCTGTGGATCATCTTTATTGATAACTTCTTATTTCCTAGTTATGTAATAAAAAAGTAAAAAGTGTGAATTTTTATTTATTTATTTTTTTGAGTTGGAGTCTCGCTCTGTCACTCAGGTTGGAGTGGAGTGGCATGCTCATGGCCACTGCTGCCTCAACCTGCTGGGCTCAGGCGCTCCTTCTGCCTCAGTCTTGCAAGTAGCTGGAACGACAGGCACATGCTGCCATGCTCAGCTAACTTTTTGATTTATTGTAAAGACGAGGTCTCATCAAGTTGTCCAGGCTAGTCTCGAACCCTTGGGCCCAGGCAGTTCTCTCACCTTGGCCTCCCAAAGTGCTGGGATTACAGACTTGAGCCACTGTGCCTGCCCTAAAAGTGTGAATTTTTATAAGTTATTACTAGTGTGCAACATTCAAACACCCCAGGCACCTTCTTAGAGACTTTTAGATTCCTGACCCGGAGTTCCTAATGCCTTGTGGGCCTCAGGTGAGTGCCTGTGAGAATTCTGCTCCCTAGCTTGCTAATCTAAACTTCTCTAGCAAGCTGACAAGTCACGTATATTGTCTCATTCCTGGATGGCATTACAAAATCAAAAGAGGAAAAAAAGAAAAAGAAAAAGAAAATAGCCAGGCAACTTGTTCTGTATACTTTTGATTGTCGTTTATGTGTTGAATTGAATAGAATTGTGCATTGAGTATATTATTCTTCTGAAAGTATTTGTTCTTTTTCAGATCTACTGCAATCCGCAATGCCTAGCTGTTAAATTTTTGTTAGAAAGAATCCAGAACAATGTTCATTATGCAACTTTGCTTTTCTGAAGGGACTGTGTTTGTTATGTTGCATCACATTGATTGGTACTGCTACCAAAGTTTTGCAAACTCCCCCAGGATTGAATAGTCATTTCTGTAATGATTAATACCACTAGGTTGGTTGGTTTGTTTGGGTTTTTAATTTTGTTTTTACATTGAATGAGGAGCAATTCTTATGACTGCTGAACACATGTGTATATAATAAACATTATATATCATATACTTGAAATTATTTTCCTTTTGGTATTTAATCACAAGTTTAATATTTTTATTTTAATATTTTAATTAAAAATGCATGTCACTTTGACCAGACTCATATTAAAACTAATAAAGACTTTTTTAAAAAAGTTTTTGATTTGTAGGTTAATTTAAATTTCTTCAACAATTTACACTGTTTAGCATCACCTAGAGTTTGCTTTTGGTGGGGGAGAGAGAACACACAACATAGATCCAAGTAATAATTTCAACAGATGAACTTTGCTGTTATGCAAATGTCCTTTGTTTTGTGCTCTGGTGAGCAAGCTACTGTACCAACACTTTTGGCAGTAGTACAAGACTGAATCCATGGAAGCATGTGTGTATTTACACAAAAGAGGCTTCTAAGCTACAAAACTCCCTCCTGTTTGGTTACACTAATTTCCCTTGAATGAAGTTTGTATGCCAGCCAAAACAATGGTAGTTATCCTGTCCTCTAGAGTTCATTCCCAGTAGAATGAGGTGAATAATGGAACATTTTCTAGATAATCCATTAATGTGCTATTTTTATTTCTTTCTCCATCATTTTGATTCGTTGATTATTGTAAAATATCAGAATATTTGTGATGGGAAATTTTGTTAATATGCTAATTCATTCCTCCGTATTTTCCCATCTCTTCTCATTTTCTGATCTATTTAAATCTGACGTGGTGGTTAAGCTAAGCATCCCATTGTGGCATTCAAAGTATTTCAGGTGTGCGAGGCAAATGGAAGCATCTCAACAATATAATTAAGGGGATACAGGGAGAAATGAAAAACTGACATCGAATTCAAGATCGTTTGGGCCAAAGGCCAAAAGCCAGTTTCTCCAGTGAATGCCTAAAAACAACAAATGCGTTTGTTTAGTCAGCAGATGGCTCTGTTCAACACAGAGTCAATCCAGGGTAAATTCCTAAGTCTATTGAGAAGACAGAAGACTCAGTATCGTACCTTGGCTGCCTCAGGTCCCAGCACCATCACCACAGGTGGCTGTACTCCAGCAGGTCGTGAGGGTCTTGTGGTAACTTCTCCCCAAGCACTGCTATTTGTACCTCCATGAAGAGTACTCATTAGTATACGGTATTCATATTTTGTCCATGGGCTAAGAGCAGGAGTCTTATCAATAAACCTCATGGAATGACTTCTTGGCAGAGTCACCAAGGTAGTAATTTCCTCCTCTCCTTTGACTCTTCTCTCAATTGTGACATTCTCCACCAAGCCATTGGGGTGAATGGGGGGTTGCCAAGATATAATCACAGATGTTGGCGTATCAGAGAACAACTCTGGGCTTGGGATATCTTCTGGTGCCCCTGGAAGTGTCCATACAGTCTTGGACTCTGGAGAGAGGGAGCATCCTTTTGAAGTGCAGGCTTCTACCTGAAACTTATAGGCAGTATATGGGTTTAAATGGATCACTGTGCAATTAGTGACATTTCCAGAAGTTCTTAAGTACAGGTGGCCATGTTGATAAATGTTATAATGGGTAATAACCCCATTGCATTTTGAAGGATGCTGCCAGGTGACCAACATCATTCTTGAGTTCACATCCAGAATAATCGGAGGATCTATAGGTCCAGGTTCTATAAAGTCAAATAAATCCAAGATGTAAAATCTCTAGGAAACTTCCCATATCTACTCAAATAAAGCTAAAATGAGTGCTAACTTTTAAATACGGGTATGAAAATGAACATTTGACAAAGATTAATAAGTAAACAAGTGCTGTAAAGACAAGGAGTATGATTACTTTGCTCACGTGTGAAATACTCGTCTAATATTCTGACACTGCAATTGCCATTTTCCTCTCTAAGATCTTTATCAAAATAATTTATTTTTATTAAAGTTAATGGTTAAAATATAGTAAGTTTTTTTAAAAAATAAAGGGCAGTTGTTACCAAAGTTCTAGCCTCCACCACATTTTTTTCTAGAGCCCTAGTAATTATAATCAATAACACTATCATAACAAACCTGAATATTTTACAGCCCAGTAAAATCCTTTGGCATCTCTCATTATATATTCCATATTATACTTGCTTCTGTTTATCATTCTAATCCATGTTTTGCAATTTATCTACTCCCTGTTAATATTATAGGTGATTTTTTACTGTGACTGTGACAGAAGCTGCCGATTTAGCTCTTTCACCTACTGATAAATAAACAATGCACAGATCTGACCTTTAGGTTAACAGGTTTTATGCTTACTCCACTCAGCACTCTAACTGATTCAATTATCATAAAGGTTCAGGAGGCTCCATGAATACTGAAAAAGGCCCACCATATGCCTGCATAGGTGTTGTGGAACAGCAAATATTCTGCAGCCCTCCAGAGAAATTCCTTAATTGTAAATAATTTCACCATGCGACACAATCAAGTCACCTTGAATGCAAACCCCTCAGCCTGCGGAGGCAAAGTGTTATTTAAGCTTTACTGGGCTGCGTTAAATTCTGCAATTTGAAGGGCTGTTAAGTTTTTCAATTGAAATTTCATTTAAAATGCAGGTGCTTTTTATTATATTGAGGCTTTACTGCTCTCTAGGTACAAGCAAGAACATGGTGCAATAACACAAATCTGGCTCAATCACTGATCAGTAACAGCTGTAATTCCAGAACATTTAGCATTCTTATAAACCACGGCCTGAAATCTATAAATTGCTACAACAGATCAAGAAAATACTATATCCCCCTTTTCTGCCCACAGCAATTTTGACATTTATGGTATTTTTCTGTGAACATTAGATTTTATTGAAAATCTTTAAAAAAGATACACTTGGATTTAGTAATTGTTTAAAACAGTGTTGATTATGTGAGTGTGTGTATGCAATTCAGTGTTATACCAAAGGTTTAAATTTCAGATGCAACCACTGCTTTGCAAAGCCAGTGGCTGCAATGAGAGATGATTATATGAACCCACTTTCACACAACAGGACCCACATATTCGTCACCAACAGGACTGATGGGAGAATCATAATTACTTTTTGAGGGGGATGACGTTACAGTGAGCTAACCCTGAAATCAAGCTATTTCTGACAATTTGGTAATCCATCCTATTTGAGAAGAGAAACACATACACACATACACAGACACAACAACAACAACAACAATAACAAAACAGCAATCTTGGTGTGGATCACATTTTCCGTTTTAGTCTGTTGTTAGCTTTCATTTTAAAGTTTTCTGAAAAACACTGTGACATTTTTTACTTTTGCATTCTCATATATAGTAGCAGTAGCAATTATTCTATCAAAATGGGGATATCGCTCCTTTCTTGTTTATACTTGTCACCTAGATTTAGCTATTTCCCAGAGAAAAGCAAGTGTGAGTCTTGTAAGATATCAATGTTGTTTTGAAATCTAAAAAAAACCCTAAATCCCCTGAGATTGGGTTTCATAAAATCAATGGTGGAGATTCAAGTCTTTAATGTCTAACCCTATCTCACCCTCTCATCCCCAAAGAGAATAATATACACTTAAAAATCAGAATATTTTCTATTAGGGTTTTCATCAGGGTCTTGCATAATTATTCCTCATATGTGAACTATCAAACTGTGAGCTTCTTCAGGGAAAAGAAACAACAATAATGCAGTTTGTTCTCTGTGATGAGGGGGGATAAGTCTTTTATTTCTCCTGAATATGATGATAGCATTATGGGTGAAACATCCATGATAATGAGGTGAACTTGCACTTCAAACTCCCAAAGAATGCAGCCTTTTCTTAAAGATGATCTCTTATCTTGGGAAAAGAAGAGATGTTCAATTTCAATTTCATGATTTTTCCCCTTAAAAGACAGCATACATTTTATTAACTTCCTGCTCTGGTTGAGTGGGCTCCCTGCTCTTGTTGCAGAAGGGTCCTTTAACTTGTGTAATTCTGGAGAGGAAGCTGAAAGCAGCTTAATTAGCTCCTTTGGCTAGGGAAGTGTTAAAACCTGACTCCTGGCACCCTTTCAATTTAGTGTTTTAAAATGATAAGCCGAATCATCTAATTCTATATACAAATCAACTGGCCTACTACTGCATGGTTGAAAGGGTCACCACAATTATGTAAAACATGAGTAATAACTATAATTGGGGTAGTTTGCTAATACAATAAAAAGCTCTGAACATGAGGAAAGTTATGCTCACAGCAGTAGCTATCACTTTCTAAAGTAAGAATTCATGGATGAAATGACATGAAAAAGATGGTTATAAAATTTTAATGGAATGATAAAAGGCAAAAGTCAGCCTCTCAGCTGAATTCTTAAAATCCCTATATATCACAATCAGCTCCTTAACTGTAAAATCAATGTGGAGTATAACATGTTGTCAATGCAGCTGTCACTGGAGGGGAGACTGCGAGTATGACAGGCACACAGCTCAGCTGGCCGGTGATGAAAATACAACCATACAGCCTCTCTCCGTGGGTGTAATTGTTTAGAGAACTCCCTCCTGGAGCTGGAAAGGGGAGCATTCTTTCTGTCCAGATCACAGATTCATATTTCAGACCATTTCAGTATTGCATTTAACAACGGAAAGTAGTTTCATTTGGGCAAATGAAATTATCTTTTATAGGAAACTACTTCCCTCATCAGCTTTAAAAGTTCAGCCTCAGTCTAAAACAGAGTAACACAATTGTTACCAGAGGTGTCTGTTTATTTTGTTTTCTATTCAGATGTGTAAATCAGTAAGGGTATGTGTGTGCACATGCACATGTGTATGTGTATGAATACACAGTTTGAATGACTCACAGCTTGAGTGTGTATATAATAATTTTCAGGATTTTGCATGAGTCATCTACACTTGTTTGCTATTAGAGTTACCCATGATTAATCAACCCATTTTCTTGCTATGTTTTTATTGTTGCTCTGCAGCAACATTTTACCATTCTAGTTAAAAAGTCCATTTAAAAGCTTTTACCGTAATATTAACTCCATACATGAATATCCCCTAAATTTACCAGTGAATTAAAAATCAAGGTAGCAAATATATGGATGTATAATTACAATAAGTAATATACTGTATGCTAATTGTTAATGTAGCCTTTTGATATTCACTACTGATATGTTGGCAGAAGAATAGAGTAATGGATTCTATCTTCTCTTTAATCATGAATTCTTTTATCAATTTATTATTTATACTCCAACTACTTCCCAAAAGAATTTTTGACAGCTCATAATAAAAGACCCAAATGTAAGAGGACCAATAGAATAAAGATAAAGAAATATTAATCTTGTGTTAATGAAGAGGGTACAATAGTTGTATCTCAGAACAAATATTAAGAATGGGCATTGCAGTTTTGCACACAAATGAACTTTCAGCTTCCTGACAACCAAAAAAAAAGGGGGCAATGGGCTGTGTAACATAGGCGCCATTACTTAATGAGGGGAACCTATGAAGACTAGAAGGTTGTTGAAATTGAAAGGATACTATTTGATAGTCTGAAAGTCAGAGAACCGATATTCGAAAACTATTTTTCTCCATTTCCCTGGAGCTCAGAACAGTGGAAAGCAGGTTAAAAAGAATGTCTTGACTTCTAGAATGGGGCATATTGTGAGGTGAATGGTAGTGGATGCATCTTGACAGCTTTGGGGGTAGAAAATAAAATGTGTTGATGTGAGAATTCAGAAGCCGAAAAAAGTTCTTAAAAAACCTAATAGTCATCATCTTCACTTTTTATATTTAGGCAAAACTTTACCTGAATTTTTCAAAAGGTAGCAAGTCCACATTGTTTAAAGAAGCCACTGCTTGACCTCCATAGGAGCTCTTTCAGACCCTAAGCCGTCTTTCCCCTCCTTTGTACTTACTTAATCAATCTTGGAAAATTGGGGTTTTAGGGACATTGTCAAAATGAGTAAATTAACATGATTAAAATAATCTATGCATTGTTTTAGCATTACAGAATAATCTTTATAGGCAGGTGTTATGTAAAATTCTATAGAAAATAATTATGGCAAACACCAATCTTTTTGTTAATAGCTAGTAGTTTTCCAGTATCTGAACTCTCTAAGAATTTAGACTTGAGACCCTTAAAACTAAGCTTATTCCATTAAATATCAATATGTGGCAATTAGCACTGGATCATCTTGCATAGTCCACTGTGAATTTTCAAATACTGACGACTTAACTTTTTGAAAGCTAAAGAAAAACATAGATTTCAAAAATGTTTAGTGAATGGCCAGAATAATTTTTCAATTTTTCCTTCCCTTTCTGTCACAAAGATTCAGTATTTTACTCTTATTACACGTTGCAAGAATTAGAACAAGAAATATATATATGCATGTATTTTATATATATATTATATATATATATATTTTAAAATTATCTTTCTATATATGCCACCCCTTCATTTTGAATAGCACATGATTTGGGGCCAGCAGAAGTCTCTCAAACTAGAAAATTCATTTATCTAGTAGAGACAGCGAACGTTGAATCAAAGGGACAGCCAGCAGCCGGCCTCTCTCTGTCCAAGGCAAATAAATAATGAGGATCACTTTTGGGTCTTCCTTCCCTTATAGTCTTATATTCAGAGGCAGGAACCACTGACAGGACATTCTGAGAGTCCCTCTCCAGGTTTCATGTGTCAATGGACGCCTTTTACAGCAATTGCTTT